TCTTCCTGGCGGGTGAAGTTCTTCAGGAGGCTCAGGTTGAATTTTGGGTGTGGGAAGCTCTTACTGACATGGACAAACTGGGCTGTGTCTTCATCTTCAAACAAGTTGTGGCGACCCAGCCAGACCTGGTATTTGCTGGGGAAGAAGGGGAATGGAGGGGTGAGCAGAGGGGAGGGGGAAAGGGCCTTGGGGCAGGGGAGTAGGGGGAGGGTCCCCTAAGAGAAACAGAAGAACTGCACTGGCTGGTGGTGGTGGTGACAGAGGAAGAAAGATGCACAGTTGTGGAGAAAGACGGACAGTGAGTGAGAAAAGAAAGGAATGTGAATGATAAAGGCAGATGCAGACTCAGAAACAGGGTGAAAAATTAATGGTCAGAAGGACAAAGGGAATGAGAAAGACAGACAGGGAACAGTGAGAAATAACAGAAGGGGCAAAAAAGAGGCTGAGAAAGAGGCAAGGCAGAGGGATAGAGAAACACAGAGGGAAGAGGAAGAAGAGAGCAGAACAGGGAAGGAGTGAGGAACAGCCAAATGAGATCCGAGGCAGGAAGTCAGAGGGAGAGTGAGAGCCAGAGGCAGAATGGAAGCCCGGGGTCTGGGGTATGAGAGAGAAAAGGGGGGCCTTGGCAGGGGAGGAGAGGCCTGAGAGCGGCTCAGCTGCAGCTGGGGCTGTGCTGGCTCCCCAGAGGATCTGGCCCAGCGCCCAAGGTCACGTCCCTCTTTCCCTGCCAGCACCCTCCCCCTCTCCATCCTTCCTTTCCTTCCTTCTACCTCAGATGTCCCACCCAGCTCCAGCTGAAACCAACCCTTCCCTGTGTCTCTCCAGAGTGGACTGATGTCCTGAGGGGGGCTGGGCAGAGTGAGAGGTGCCCCCTCATGCACACAGGTTGGGGCTAAAGCCCTTCCTTCTCTCTGACGTCCCCTTAGGCCCATCGTGAGTGTGTTCAGTAGTGATGGCGGAGGGCGTGGGACAGAGACCCAGGGAGAGAGATGGACAGAGAGATGGAGGGTGAGACCCATGGTGACAGAGATGACCACAAAGTGACCCAGAGAGGGTCAGGGACAGGGGAGATGCAGACACATGGAGGCAGAGCAGGAGATAGAGACCAAAACACAGTCATGGTCAGACACACAACCAGAGCCAGAAAAGGCCAGACACAGAGACCCAGAGAGACATCCAGGTAGCCATGGGAGGGTGGTCCAGCCCCACCTCTGCCTCTCCATGTCCCTGGACCAGAGCCTTCCCTCTGTCCGTCACTTCCCCAGCCTCGCCTGTGGTTATCCAAGAGGAATGGCACTGGCTGATCAATCCTGAGGGAGTACAGGCACCATCCTCCCCAGACCCCAGGCCCCGACTCACTCACTGATGCAGTGGGCGGCTGTGAGCACCCACTGGGGGTGCACCAGGACGCCCCCACACTCGACGTTGCTGAAATGGTACACAGCCACCTGCCATGGGTGGGAATGCTTCTCACATTCCCAGCCTCCCACCACCCGAGACTGGATGGCTGGTGCAGCACCTGCAGAGGAGGTGCTAGGTTAGGGAGGGTGGAGTTGGCAGGAGGGGCAGGGGACTGGAATAGGGGTGCTGTGAAGTTTCCAGAACTCTGGAACTGTTCCTGGGTTGGTGGCTGGTCCTGGGTGGGGAGAGTTTGTGCCCTGAGCATAGAGCAGACCCCAGGGATCAGGGCAGGAGACACAAGACAGTGTCTGGAGCATGTATCAGGTCATTTGGGGTGACTTGGGTTCTTGGGCTGGGGTTGATGGGAGGTGGTGGATTAGGAGTGTGGAAAGGGACTCCAGAAAGGAGGGATAAAGGTCCCAAAGGAGAGGATCCAAGGCTGGGAAAGGAAAGGTGTGGGTTAAAGGGCTCTAGGCTGGGCAAACAGTTGTGCCTGGGTTGGGCTTTTGGGGTTCAGGAAAAGATGCAGCTTTAGGGAACCAGGTCTGAGAGGTCAAGAAGCGCATCTGGGCTGGGGAGTTTGGGCCATGATTTGGGGTGTCTAGATTGGGGCTCCAAGGGGTCAGCTGGGCTGGACAAGTCAAATTTTGGAGTTTCCAGGTTAAAGGATAAAAGAAAGGGTTAGAGTATAGGCTGGGAGTATGCTCCGTGAGGTTTTGGGGTGCTTCTTATAGCCCAATAGTGGCAATCCAAGAGGTAGAGGCCCTGAGAACAGGTTTGGGGTAAGGACTAGGACGGGGCTCAGGAAGAGGGAGGGGATGAGTGATAGTCACCATGGGATAGGGTGTGGGACAGGCTCCTTGTTTCTCATGGGGGTGGGTTTCATGGTGTGACGGTATTAGAGGGATTGGGGTTCTCTTGGTCCTAGGATAAGAATGGAGTCCCAGTCCCAGGATAAGAATGGGAAGTGTTCAAAACAGGGGCCAAGCAGCTGTGGGAAGAGAGTGGAGGAGCCTCTAATGTGAGGTTTTAGAATCACATATTGCCATACTTGGGGCAGGTGGGGGCAGGCTGGCTAGCTGGGAGGGTGTTCTGGATCTTGCAGGTGTGGCCCCTGAAAACCAGGTTTGTGCAGGAGGGATTCAGGTGGGGAAGGGCTGGACCTGGGGAGGGATGGGAATTCTGCAAGGAAAGGAGTGTGTGGTTGGATGGCTTGCGTGTTTTTCCTCGGAGAGCTGGGGGTGCCGGATGGGGTTCTGTGTCAGAGAGGAGGAAGGGGCATTTGTAGATTCCCCCGGGCTAGATGGGGACCCATCTGGTGTCACACAGTTTGGGGAGCAGGGCTGGCTGGTGGAATTTGGGGGACTTGGGAGGACCAGATGTCAGGGTCTGGAGGACACAATTGAGAGCTGACAGCTGGATGGAAAAAGTCACTGAGGTGGGATTTGTAGACTCCAGAGCCAGACCACTGGGCCACAGAGAACTGAGGTAGGAGGGCCTCAGGGTCCCAGGGTCCAGTGGGGTAGGGGTCCTCCATAGAGAGGGACAGAGATGGCCCAAGGGCCTGCCCCTTTGTGAAAGCAGCAGGGGCAGGAGCTGACTAGGGAAGAGGAGAAAGTCCTGAGGGTTCCTGGGAGGGGGTGAGGACCTAGTGTGGGAATGCAGACTATGAGAGGTGGGATTTTGGGATGGGGCTGCAAGAGACAAGAAAGAGCTTGGCACCCTGGTCTGGGATGGACCACAGGCTGGGGTGCTAGAGGGTAAGGAGTTACGGAGGGCAAGCGTAGCATGAGAGTCAGGGACCAGTCCCCCTCCCACATTCCCCCCACTGTCTCACCAGTCCCCCCCAGGGACAGGGCGAGGCACAGAACCAGGAACCACATGGTGACAGAGGTGTCAGGCGGCAGGCGGTGAGCTAGGAGCTGAGGAGCCTCCCCAGGGAGCCTTTTAAAGGCCCTCATTCCCCCCACCCCCAGAGCCCCGCCCCTGCCCTGCTGGCACCCAGATGCTGGCCAAGGTCCTTCCCCTGTTGCCTGGGGGCAGACAACCCCCTCCTATCCCCAGAGCTGTGAAGGGGAGGGAGAGCCACCACCTGTTGTTCTGCAGGCCCTGGATCACGCTGGATACATTCCTGGGGCTGAGGCCAGGTGGGGCAGGGCCTGTGCTCCTGGGGCTTTGCTCTGGGGGACAGAGCCAGTGAGGCATGGTGGGGCAAGGGGGAAGAGAAACAGGAGGATGGAAACCCCCAGTTAGAGCCCCATATACTTAACCCGTAAATAAAGCCCTGTACCCAAAGACCCGGTACCCTTTAATACCAGTGGTGAGGGCTCCAATTCCCTGCACCACTCAGAGAGACAAGATACCAACTTAGCTGTCAGCCTTTCCCTGAAATCTATGCCCTGGCTTTCAAAATGCCCTGAATCTTACTCTTCCAAACCCAGGATCTAAGTCCCCAAAGCTATTGTTCCTTTCATAATAAAAGTCTGGGGTACATATCACCACAAACCTAGTCCTCCAAGATCAAGGAATTTGAAATTTCAGGAGTTTCCCCAGGCAAATGCTCTAGCATTATAAAATCCAGTGTTCCCCTCAAACAGTGTCAGGGGTCCAATGACCCTTCTACCCTGTTCCCCAGATATGGGTGGTCAAGGCCATATCCTCCAAAGTCCCAGAGATTTGGACTACATGCCCTCCCAGGTCAAGATCATCCTGACCACAAATTCCAATTACCGCCACTCCCACCCCATTCTGCCAATACAATATTTTGGTCTCCGGAGCCAGGTTCATGTACTTCAATGTTCAGTGACCTTGAAAATCACTTTTTGGGTCTCTGAAGAGAATCAGGACCTAGATTCCTGATTCCTGCAGCCTCAATGGTAAACCCGTGGGCTTCCAACATGGTATCTTGTCTTTTTAGTAAAAACAAAGGAACTCATAGGGTCCCAGCATCAGCTGTATGTCAGAAACTTGGGTAAGGAAAGAACAGTATTTTCCTTTTTGTATGGCTATCAGGAAGCCCAGAACTAAGTCTTGAAGAAAAAGTCATTCTTGGTAATCTAGCATTTGCTGGGTCCTTTCACTGGGATCCAGAGATACAGCGTATTTACCCAGTGCCAGACACTATTCTAATCTGTTCACATGAATTACCTCATTTAATCTCCCAGCAACCCTGTAAGTTAAGCAATATGATGATCTCCATTTTACATGTGGACCGACGTAGGCTGAGTGAGATTGGGCCTCTTGTTCAAGATCACATATCTGGTCATACATGTTGGATGGAGAGAGCCTTGCTTTAAGCCCTTTCTCCTCCCCTCAGGATTGGGGCAGTGGGTGAAAACAGTGCACAGTGTCTGTGGGTTCCCCACCCAATCTTTGTGTCCAGTTTACCTTCATCCCCAGAAGAAAGTCACAGAAACTCCTATAGAGAAACTTGGATCAGTGCTCTCTGTTATCTCGGTGTTAAAGGCTAGGTGACCTTGAGCACCAGCTTTGCCTTTAGGCGGGAGGGACAAGTCCTTGGCTAACACCTGGGCCTTGGACAGGTTCTTGAGGGATGGCTTAATTTTGTTCCAAGTCCGGACAGGGGTGTTGGCCAGGCATGGGGGCTTCTGCTTAGGACACAGGAGGTAGGCCGAGATAGTCAGTTCCTCTTCATGATTTCCCTGATCCACTCCAAGTAGTGACAGACTTTGGTATAGACTCCAGGCTTCTTGGTGGTATCACAAGGGACGTCACCCCAGGACACAATGCCCTGCAGGACTCCACTACAGACCAGTGGTCCCCCGGAGTCACCCTGTGGAGAGAACAGGGGGTCTCAGGATTAGTGAGAGAACCTCCTGGATCTAGTGTGCCCATCTCCATCCTAATCACAGTTTGCATGCCCACCCCAGGCAATCCCAACTCAACTCAATACAGTCCAATTTAACCAAAACCAATCCAACCCAACCCCAACTTAACTAACTCAATGCATGTCCAACCTTATACCCTTGCAACCCCAACCCAGCTGAACTAAGCTAAATCCAACTCAATCAAATCCCCACATGTTCCCCATCAAAATCAAACCAAAGCCATTGCCATCCTCACAATCCAATCCTAATTTTCATACCTTCTGCATATCAAACAAAATCTACCCCTTCCTGATTCAACCTTGACGTATTTCTCATCAGAAACCAAACCACACCTATTCCCATTCTCAACCCCAACCCAACTGCAACACCATGCACCTCAAACACAACACAACCTAATCCCCATTTCCAACTCCAACTCCAGCCTCACCCCCATTCTAACTGCTCTTCCTTCTCCATCTCTCTAGGTTGGACTGCTCTTCCATCCTAGCATCTTCTCTGACCCAAAGCAAATAATACCCAGCCCCATCCTAACTCTCAAACCCGTCCCCATCCCTCTTCCTCCACCTGATGGCCTCCTCTGGGCTCTGACCTCACAGGAGTCCGTGCCTCCGCCCTCTGCTCCTGCGCACACCATGGTGCTCATTAAGTGCCCGGGGTAGTCCTTGTTACAAGATGTGTCTGAGATGATGCTGATGTTGGCACAATGCAGTGTATCTGGGAGACTCACTGGGGAGGGCAGTGAAGTTTGAGCAGACCCATAAATCCCAGCCCTGTCCCCGCCACCCAAGAACCCTGGAGAATAGAGTTCCTCGAGGCCTCACACTCAGCTCCATCCTTTCATTCACCTTGTGATTCTGGGCTCCCTGTGGTCCCGGGCTCGTTGTTGGTCACCAGGCCCCAGCCAGACACCACACAGGCCTCACTGGGGCTAGGGCAACGGGTGGGTAGCATCACTGGGCGCACCTGGGTGGTCAGGCGAGCGGGCCGGGCCAGCCGCAGCAACATGACATCATGGCGGTGACTGCGGGCTTCGTAGCCAGGATGTGGGATGACTCGAGAGACAGCCCACAGTTGCTCTGGTCCATCCCACTTGCGCAGGTTGTGCTCACCCAGGCGCACTCTCATGGAGCTGTGCGGGCGAGTGGGGTGAGGAGTAGACAACGGATCAAAGAGTGGGCGACCTGGGGTCCCTAGATCCTTTGGGAATTTCAAGATGCCACTACCCTTTCCCAAGACCCTGAAGCCGATGGTTCTGACTCCTGCCCCTCAGGGACCAAGGAGTCCAAGTCAGGCACACATCTGGAACTGAACCTCCTGGGCTTCCACCCTCCTTTTCTCAGATTGCAGAATTACAACATCCCTGGATTCATCCTGCCTCAGGAGATCAAAAGCTGGGACGCTACTGTCCTCTTTTTCCTCTTTCAGGGACCTAAGAGTTCAGAACGCACCCTCTCCTCACCCAGGAGCTTGACCTCTTGCCTCTTACTGCTTCAGAACCCCGGGGTCCTGGCACCAGTCTCCACCTTCCCCCTAGGAGTTCTACCCTCCAGCCAGGCCCCTGAGCCCCGCTGTCATACCGGGTCTGGCAGTGGGCTGCAGAGAGCACCCAGTGTGGGGAGATGAGGGAAGCACCGCAGTTGAAGCGCCCACGCTCGTAGAGGGCCACTTGCCATGGCTGAGAGTGGGGCGCACACTCCTCACCTTTCAGCAACTTGTCACCTTCCTGTGCTGCTGGGAGAAGGGGTGGAAGAACCGGAGGACAGAGACCTTTTTATTGCCTCTTGCACCTTCCATGCACCCTGCCCTCACCACTATTTTTCACCTGTGCCTTACCGAATTTCTTAAGAAGTCCCTGCTGCTTATTTACAACTGCAGCCTGTTTCCTCCAGATCTCTAGCCCCTACCCCATTTCTTACAGGACTCTGGGAGAGAGAGGAAGGGAAAAGGACCAAAGGGCGAGAAGTTCTCTGTGACTGGGAGTGGAGACAGGGACATTGGATACAGGTCAGACAGGTGGTCACTTGGAACCAGTCATTCAAGGTCACCAAATTGTCACATACCCAAATTGATGTGGCTACTCAATATGTATGACGTACAGTCTTGGCTGCAGAACCTGGACATCTCAGCCAAATTCAGTGTACAATACAAGACACAGATATGGTCACACAAGGTCATGGACGTACATACACACACATCTAGGCTTCCAAACTTAGGGACAGATATCAACAGCTCTTTAAAGCTAAAATTCACTCGCACACATAGGTTGCAACTTCAAGAACCACAGCACATATGTTCATATGTGTATTTAAATGTGGATGGTTAAGACACAGATACAGGCACACACAGAGAACTGGATATAGACCAGACCTAAATTCACAGTCTCCAGTGTGGAGGTTGGCATCCGAAGTCACAGACATTTGCACATAGGGTCTGAACAGAGAAGGTAGGTCCTTAACTCTGGGTTCAAACATACTAGCTGTGAGACTTTGAGCAATCATTTGACCTCTCTGTGCCCTTTTTTCCTCATCTATAAAATGGGGATTGTTGTAACAATGACATAGGAGTGTGTGAGTGGTGAGTGATGCCTGGCCCATTGAAACTGCATAATATTAATATTAGTTATTTTTAACAAAGGGCATAGATTTATTTCTGATACATACATATCGATGTTCAGGTTGTAGACACAAATGTGATCAAAGTAAGTGACACATCTGTACAGACACAGTCAAGGTAAAAACTGATTCCTCCACAGGACATTTTGTAGGGAGTCAAAGCTGCAGACACCACCCCAGAAGGCCACCACTCAGCTGTGGACCCACTGAATCCAACTACGGGGCAACAGGGCTGGGCATTCAAGGTCAAAGATATAGCTGGAGACACAAGTGGCCGGACAGGATATATTTATCCATCTCTAGGTCAGCCCCCAAGCCAGACCCACAGTGTTGAAGGTCACTCATTGGGTTTCACCCCCATGGTTCCCACAAGTGGGCTTGATGTGGACACACAGGGCCCTGTGCGCCCACCACACACACACACACACACACACACACACACACACACACACACACACAGAATGGCACCATGCACAAGGACATAATTAGGGACATTTCAAGGTCACAAGACCATGAGCCTCTACACTGGGCAACACGGATGTGTCCCCTCAAGGTCACAGACACCTACACTGGGGCAGGATTTGCAGCGTCAGATCAACTGCCCAAAGCCTGTCCACCAGGGTCAGGAACTGGGCCAAAGGTGCTGGCGAGGCCAGGGGAATGCGGATGTGGTGGATGAGGGGCTTAACAAAGGAAGGGTGAGGTCTGTGGAGAAGGGTGGAGGACAGGGGCTGAACAGCTGGGCACCGAGACTGCACCTGGCCAGTCCAAGCTGGAGCAGGGTGGAGGCCCCAGCCGGGCGCAGCGGGCAGGCGGGGCAGGGAGGAGAGAGCACAGAGAGAGCCCGAGGGGAGGCTGGAAGCACGGGGGAGGTCTCGGGCCTCCAGGAGTGAGGGTCATATGGGGCAGCAGGTTAATGAAAATCTACCCCCCCCCATTTCTCCAGGATAGAGGCATCAGGTTACAATTAATTTCTCCATGAATTTGGTCTGGAGTAAGCCTACCACCCAGGGTGACCTTGACTTTGTGGCCATCCCTCTCTAGGCCACAGCCCCTTCTCTTGTCAAATGAAGTCAGTGGTGCCCACCTCACATAGATGTTGTATGTAAGCGCTGAGTGCCGTGCCTGGCACATACTAAGTGCTCAGCAATGCTTGCACGCCTTAGACAGTGCTACCTGTGGACAGGTACATGCTAGTGCCTCACGTATGTTGTAATCCTTACAACAACGCTGTGAGGGAAGGACTGTTGTCTCCATTGTACAGTTGGGTGACAGAGACATTAAGTAACTAGGGGGTGGCAGGGGCAGGATTCGAGCCCGAGGTCTGTGCTCTTGGCCTCTCAACACTTGTTTAATGGTTGTTATGTGCATTACCTACATTACACTATTGAGACCTCACCATTATTGTCACAGGTAGGTGCTGTCTTACAGAGATGGCACTTGAGGCCCAGAGAGCTGAATCAATTTCCTCAAGGTCACACAGCAAAGAAGGGGCAGCCCAGGACTCAGCTCAGGTATCTGTAGCCCCAGGATCGTGTTCATTATCATGGACAGTGAGAGGCCCCAGATCCCAGCAACTCCAGAGCAGCCCCAGGCCCATGATGGCTCTTCAGGTGAGGACTGAGGAACATTGGCAGGTGGCTCAGGTGTGGGCAGGGGTGAGGGAAGGATCTTTAGGTGGTCTCTGGGTAAGGTAGGGGCGGGCAGATCACAGGGCACCACAGACCCAGACCTCACCTTGGCCCAGCTCACCTGTAGATGTCAGCAGGAAGGAAAAGGTGAGGAGAAGCCACATTGTAGAGGAGGGACCAGGACTCAGCTGCAGTCATGGAGGAGAGAGAGAGAGAACTGAGATGAGGCTGGACCCCTCTTCGCCCTCGGGGATCCCTCCAGACACAAACTCATCCCACCTGCTGCTTAAGAAACTTCTTTTGATACTCCACATGTCCCCCTTCCCCCTCCCCCCACTGCAGGTCCAGGTCCCCCATCTCTGGAGGGTCCACCGTTCCTCTGGGCACCAGGATACTCCCACAGCCTGTCATCCCCCAGCACCATGACCCCGGCCCCCAGATCTCGCTCCAGCCCCAAGGCCCCTGGTCAAGACCCTGTCTAGTCTCCTGTCTGGTCTTTTGGGTTCCCCTCCTGCCCAGCCTGTCCCCCACCCAAGGCTCAGAGGGTCTTTCTACATCCAGAGCTGACTGTACCCTCCCATGCACAGCCTTTCTTAGATCCCCGGCACTCCCAGGATCAAGTCCAGCCCCTCAGCTTCACTTTCAAGGACCTGAGTGGTTTCTGCCTTTCCAGCCTTTCTGCCCGAGTCTCCCATGACCTTGTCCTTCTAGACACAGCTAGTGCCGCTATTTTCTCTCCTGCAATTTCATGCCTCCATGCTTTTGCTCAGGCTGTTCCACCTACTAGGTGTGCCATTCCTCTCCAGACCCATTTCCTCGTTGAGGCCTTTCCTGACCTCCCCTGACTCTCAGTGGTGTCTGCTTCCCCCACCAGCCTGGCAACTCCCTGAGGGTGGGCCTGGTTTGACTCAACTCTGGATCCCCAGGACTGCCTGGTGCAGGGTCTGGTCCCTGGGAGGCCTTGGGAAGCTTTGGGAATGAATTAAAGTCCTTCTTTCCCTCATCTTCCAACTTAGTTTTTGTCCTCTGAGGCTCAGCCCCCACTTCTTCACAGAGGCCATATTATCTAACAGGTGTCTCTCTGTGTCCCACCCACCACTGTGCCTCCACAGATGCTGAGGTCTGGCCTGTCCTTTTTTTCCCCCATCCAGACCCTTGAGGATGGGGGAAAAGGAGCTCAGGTCAGGTCCTCTTTTTGTCCCCAGCACTGCCCAACCTGGGGCCTGGCACGTAGGTGGCCTCAGGCACGTTGTACTGAACCGATTTGAGCCTGTGATAACTCCTGACCATGTTCTTGGCTCTAGTACAAGTGTTTTCAGGGACGTCCTCCTGATTCACTCCATCTCCTCCTCTCCCCACACAGTCACGGTAGCTCCTTCTAGTGGCTCTAGGACATTTTCTTGGTTCAGATTCAACTTGGGGCCTCAGTAAAGGAGACATAGACCTACCCAGTGCCCTTGATACTCAATTCCCCAAGGGTGGTTCCTGTCTTCCCTGAGACCAGGGCATTCTGTATTCTGTGTCTCTCCTCACTGCCCCTCCCAGCCACCTTTCTCAAAGATCTCACCTCCAGATCCTCCAGCAGCATCTAGGGCAGCTTGGATGCCAGAGAAGGGGAGCAGCCACCAGAATGCCTGAATTTATAAGCTCCCAGCCCCACCTGGGTCTGGAGGTGGGGTGGTGTAGGGTGGGGTGGGAGGTGGCTGAGATTCAGGTTTATAGGCAGGGACGCCTAGGTAGCTGGTGGGGCGGGGGACTTGGCCTAATGAGCATTTATTAGGCTGAAGCTATTGTCTGAGTCTACAAGGAGGAATTCCCCGCCAGGGCCAGTTCCTCATGGGGGAGGGGATGGGAGGGCAAGAGCAGAAAATTGGAGAACATCAAAATACAGAGCCTGGAATTTGGGTCTAGAGTGTGGAAACTGGCTTCTAGAGTCATCCTTCCTGTACCTGGGGCAGGATTCTGGATCTGGATCTTTGCTTCTGGATCTAAGTCTTAAATTCTGGGTTTGGGGGTCTGGAGTTAGGTATTAATGACCTGAAGTCTAGAATGTGGATTTTAAAGTGTGAATTCTGGGGACTGGGGTCTGGCATTTGGAGCCTGGAGTTGGGCCTTTAAGTGACAGGTCGTGGGTGTGGATTCTGAATCCTAGAGTCCACAGTAGGAGTCTAGAGTCTGGTGTTTGTAATCTGGCACTGGAGATTGAGAACCTTTGCACCTGCTGTGTGAAGTCTGGGGCCTAGAGTACAAATGGCAGGTTTTGGATTTTGAACTTTTGGGTCTGAATTCTAGAGTCTTGATGTAGACTCCTCACAAAGGGAGAAATGAAACCAAAGTGTCACAAATGCTCAAAGTATTGAGTAGAAATATTGGACGTAAAAAATTTTCAGAGTAAAAACTTCAAGATCCTTTCACGTCATGGGCCGTGGGGTCTCCCTCCTGGCCTGTAGTGCTTTGAGGGCTCACGCGGCAGAGGGGCAGACACACCACTGTGCCCACCCCTGTAACAGGATGCACACTGTGTCCCAGGGGCTGGCTCCCTCCAGGGAAGCCACTGCACCCAGGGACTTGTGCAAGTGGCCACCAGGGGTTGCTCCCCCATCAGCGCTGGCCAGTAACACCCATGGTGGGAGTGGCAGGTGGGGACAAGGACATCAATTCTTCTGAGGCCATAGAACATGGTGTAACAGCATGGCCGGCCCACAGGAAGCTAGAGAGAGACACTGGCAAAGCACTGACCAAGGCTTTTTTTCCTCTTAACGATGTCCCAGTCTCCCTGACTCCCCCAACTCAAAGTGAAGGCAGCTCTCCTGGACCCTTCCCTCCCATCCCAGTGGCTAGCCATGGAGCTGGAGGCTCCTCCCCTCGGGCCTGGTCACAATGACAGAGCAGTGGGGTCTGTGCCTCTTCCCTGATGTACAGGCTCCAGCACTCGGTGGGATGTTGTACACCCATTTCTTCCCTGTCATGTCAGGGCAGAGGAGCCAGCAGTGAGGTGAATGGGCATTGGGTTGGGCCCCAGCATGAGCCCAGTGTGGCCTCCACCTGGCTCTCCATGACGGCCTCCAGCACTGCCATGCTGTTGGCCAGTGGGCTTAGCAGCGGGAGCTGCAGCTTGAGGTCCCTGGGTGCAGGGCAAGTCCTCAGGCAGCTTCGGCAAGGGAGATGAGGGACAAGAGTGGCATAGCAACTGAATGTCCCTCCATGGTAGTCCAGGGACAAAGATCAGGAAGGACTCAGTGTTGGCACCAGGCCACCAGCAGGCAGGTGAGCAGTGACACACAGCTGTCCCCTACATGGGCTCGCAGTGGTAGATGGAGACAGCATTCAGGGTCAGGCTAGCAGCACTGGCTCCTTGGAGTTCAGGGAAGGGCCTGGCCACCTGGTCATAGGCCTACAGGATCCAGGTGACCATGAGCTGGCTGGAGTTCTGCCAGCAGCTCAGTGTACATGTAGTACAAGCAGAACTGGCACCCCTGCTCCCCACCGGCCTGCCTAGGCGGGCGCCAACGCTCTCAGCCAAGGCCTTGGCGGCTCCCAGGCAGGAAACTGCAGAGCCCAGAGAGACGCTGCTGGGAAGGACACAGAAGAGGCACAGGGCACGGGGAAATGCCCGCACCCTCACACAGCACCGCGTGGGAGTCGGGCCCCTCAGACTCCCGGGTGGCAAAGGTCTAGGGGCAGTGTTCTCATGGGCAGTCAGAGCTCAGTGCTGAACATCATGGGGGGGTCCCCAAGTACAGCCTCTTCAGGAACCCTGACATAGGACATCTCACTGCAACCCAGCCCCCCAAAACCTACTTTCTGTTATGATCCCCTGGCCTGGCACGTAGCACGATTATGAAGGTTAACACATTAACTGCCATGTGACTTGTCTATAACTCACACTGGTCTTGAGCCCAGGGTCTTGTGAAACACGTGACTCACATGTGTATCTTGGGAGCCATGTAGTGCGCAGGCAACATGTGATTGGTGGCACCTGGGCAAAAATTACTTGTTGATGTTCTTATTGTTACAATTAACATTGACAATTCTAAAAACGTAGATTAAATGAAGTCAATAAACTTTGTTTTTCTACTTATACTCACCTTTAAATTATACTTAAGCCTGAAAAGTCAAGAAAAACACTTTACCCTTATGAACCTTTTCAAGTTTTCACATTACTTTTTTATTGATTCTACACAAAAGTATGCACTGCATTAGCTGCATCTCCATGCTGTCTGTTTACAACTCTTCTTGGCATATCTCCACCATTTCTCAGCTTGTGTTCTCTTGTAGCACACAGTACATCTTCTTCTGGCAGTGCCAGAAGGGATCAAGTGACAGGAACCAAGTCACAGATGGCATCGGGAGGGACAGCACTGCAGGAGGTGTTTCATCTGTCTGGAGCAGTCTGAGGCAAACTTGTTCTTTGAACTTTATCGAGATCTTCTTTTTGTTCACAGCTCTGTAGAGCACGAGCGAGTTCACCAAAGCTGATCCTGTGATTAGCTCTATGGCTAATTTTCTGAACCACGTTATGCCATGTCTCGAAGAACACGAATACACCTTCAGTTGATCTGAGAGTTCAGTGAACACCTTTGAATTATTATAATTGACAATCATATGGTTTTTCTACAATACTTTTTCTCATTTCAACTGCTTTATTGTCTTCGCCACATATAGTACTTAGCACGAGCACATCTCTCTTGTCCTTCCATTTGGGCACGACTCCTGTGTCACTTTCTTGAGCTGTTACTTCATTCTTGTTCAGTTTTGCCTTCACTATATCCAGCAGGTTTAGCTTCCTGTTACTCCTCAGCGTGCCTACCAGATACGTAGAGCACTCAAGGAGTCGATGAGCTAGGCAGACGCTGGTGTAATTGCTGTCCGTGTACAAAACACGCCCACTATCTAGTTAACCTTCTAATAGCTTCATGACAACTGAGGACAAAAGGGAATGCCAGATCTTGCTTCCTTCCCACAGTAAACTCTCACATTCCAGGTGTAATCGTCTTTTAGGCAGAGTTTCAAAAGTTTTATTCCAAATTTATAGCACTTGTTTATGTACTGCATGAAACTCAAACGACCATGAAATGGCATCGTTGTTTCGTCAATACATATTTCCTTACCTGGAACTACAGCAACCTGAAACCCTCTCAAAAAGACGATCAAGAAGTGGCTGGATCTTGAAGAGATGGTCACCAGGAGGACATTCTTCATTGTTAGAGAAATGCCACATTCTCAGAAGCATTTCGAAGCGGTTATGTTATGTAAACTCTTCCACTGAATTGTCATACAAAATGTTTTTTGACCAATAGTCCGAAAGTCTTGGCTTCTTGTTGAGGCCCATCCAAAACAATTCTCCCCCAAATCACTCCATTTCTTGAGAAGTAACATCATACCACTTTTTTAGTCAGGAGTGGGGTTTGACATTACCCTTTTGTAAAGTCTGACTGGCATAGATATTAGTTTCCTTCACCATGTAATCAATCACATCATCTGTTATGAAGAATTTGAAAAAATCATAAAGTGTTTTTTCACGGAGATTTACTGCAATTTCAGTGGGAACACCAGGGTTACTTTGAATGAAGTCAAAAATCTTCATGTTACTTCCTGACACTGGACTCCAGGTCAGAGAACTTACACTAGTTCTTCAGAACATCTGATGAAGAATCACTCTCCCTGAAATCAGCTACAGCTGCTTCAACTGTTTCAGTCGATTTTGAACCACCTTTCCCACTGAAAAGATCTACATGTAATGATCTTCTAGCTTTTCTCAGTGGGCTGCAACTGCTATCAGAACTGTCCTCACGATCTCCACTAGGACGGCACTCCTCTGAATCATCACTAAATAGACCAACATCTTCATCACTCGGGTCCAAAACTTTGTTCACTATTTCTTCCAATTCTTTACTCCCATTTTCCCTAGACATTTTCTCTTGAGAACAAAAAAAAAGCATAATAAACTTACATGAGGATCACAGCTCTGGTTACAGAAGCTATACCTGCTCCAGCTGGCCTGCCCAAGTGTGCCACACATGCTGGACTGTTCTCCGATCACCATAACTTCCAATTGTGCATTTCCACCTGAATGTTTGCCTGGCAGCCCTTTGAACAAAATCAATGGAACACCATGTGGCAATGAGACACTGTTGCACATACTTAGGGGGTATGAGGTCGTCATCCAGGACCACTCAAGGTCTACTCCAGACACAACTAAATACCTGTGGAATGAAAAAATACTCAATTATCAGAAATAAATTCAGGAAGTATATCGTGAGTCACATGCAACACTCATGTGGTGTGTATTGTAAAAATTGGCATGAGTTGCATATAACTCACACACAGAAAACAATAAAAAATAAAATTTTTAGTTAAATAATTAAATTAGTAAGGATCATTTTGTTTTCAAAGTTTTTATTCTATTTTCATAATAAAACACTGTGGCCCCAAGGAAAAAATCGTTTTTTTCTACTGTGTTAGTCAGCATGTTAAACAATTCTAGTTGCTTACAACAGCACCTGGCTCAGAGCACAGGGTGAGCATTAATCTGTGAGCATTATTACTGCCACCACTAATAAGAGGCAGC